TCTCTTCCGGCCGCAGAACTCTCGATGCGCGCGTCTCGTGGCTCCCATCTGTCGCGCCTCGGCCCAGGTTCGTCGCTGCTCCTTCCCGTGCTCTTCCTCGATGATCGCCGCCGGCACGGGCGCGGGGCCCTCCTCGTCAAGGTCCTGGGGGCCGGGGGCCCAGGGCCTCGAGGAATACCTCCGCGTCGTCCCCGGGCAGCTCGCAGGAGTCGCCCGCCTCGTCGTAGCAGGTCGCCGCCTCCACCCACGCGACCGGCTGAGGCGGGGCGTCCGCGGCGTTGAAGACGTCGGCCCGGTGGGTCTTCTCATTTTCGAGAACGCCCGGCTGTCCTGGAACAGCGCCTGTCTCTCGAACGCCGAGGAGGAGGAGGGCCTGTCTAATCGAGGCGAAGTCGCGCAGACCACGAGACATGGCGCGAAAGTTTATCCTGTTCTGGGCGCTCAGGTTGGCCCCCTCCCCTAGATATCTAGACTTGATCGCGTCTCGCAAGGTCAGTCCGCACGATTCGGCCTCCGTCGTCTGAGCGCCCCGTCGCAAGGCGAAATCTGCGATGGGGCTCGTTGCGCCCATTAAAAAAAAGAAAAGTGCGAAGTCGCGGGCCCCCCGACGCTTGTCGCCCGGCCGTTTCCCGTTGAGGATGGAGAAGCGGTCGAGCAACTTAGAGAGACCCCGTCCTCTGAGTCGAGAGTGGCCATCGCGAGCCAGAACTTGGTCTGGGCGTCTAAGGGGAGAGTTTCGAGCACCGTGCCGGCCTGCGCTGCTTGCCCGAAGCCCATCTGCAGCGACCAGGCTCTGAGGTTCGATCTAAATGGGCCAAAATGCTCGCGGCCCAGTCAGACTGGCGGGGCGCCGAAATCTCGATTCGTCTCGGAGCGTCGATTACCCGGCCATCCCCATGACGACGCTGCCCAATCAGCTCCCTCGTCGCCCCGAGATCCCCGCGCCTACCTCGCTGACCAGTTCCAGCCTGTCCAGTCTCTGGGCCCGCCAGTCGTCATCATTTGCTGCTGGGGGACTGGTCGATGCTGCTGCCGCGGCTGTCTGGCTCAGCTGCGCCTCTCGCGCAACCCTGGGGAGCTCCGAGAGTGGCCCCCCTGAAGTGGATGCGCTTGGTTCCGCCGTCATCGGCGGAGGGCCCTCAGGCTGCCCTCCGACCGCTGCTCTGCTCGCCGATGCCCCGACGCGGCGGGGGTGCGGCGCGCGGGGGGATCCGGCGGCGAGCGAAGGACCTTTTCCACCGGCGTGCGGATGCATGTCTAGAGCCCAAATGGGCAACATCAAGCAAGAGCCCGCACCCCTAGGCTCAGCCGCGAAGACGGGAAGGAGAGGGGAAGAGGGGTTCCTCGGGACCGCGGGGCCTTCGGGGAGGGGGCCCCCGGGCTCTCGGGGGGCAGCGGGGCGGGGTGACCTGGGCGCCCGCGGGCAGGAGGGCGTCGGAGTGATTGCGGAAGCGTGTGCGAACAGTTCAAATCATTCGGAATATTCTTCAGATCCCGACAAGGCCGCCGCCCGCCGCCCGATCGCCGCCCGCCCGCCCGCCGCCCGCCATGCTTTCGAGTTCAGCAAAACACTCACTCCGTGCTCAACAGCATCTGTCCTCCAAAACAACGCTGAGATATCAACGAGCGCCAGCTCCGACGCAGCGCCCGGCACTCAACGGGCTCCGCCTGCAACGCCCCGCCCAATGCTCAAAGGCACCCCGCCGCACGGGGTAATCCGCAGGAGCGCCGCCCAAGTGCCGATGCACCCGCCGCCGCCCGCCCGCCGCGCTTCCATGCTCAACGCAACGCCCAATATTCAACGAGCTCCGCGTCCAACGCAGACTGCTGCGTCGACTGGCCGAGGGCCGCGCCAGTCGCCAGTTCGGGGGATTCAGCGAAGGAAGGGGGTATGATCTTCCTGGCCAGCTAGCGCCTGCTTCGGCGCAGCGACAACAGCAGCGCGCGCAGCCTCAATATCAGCGGGAATATCTCTCCGCTTGACACCACCTCCTTGACCAGACTCTCTCGCGCAGACAGCAAGGCAAACATTTGTGAGTTTGGAGTTGAGACGCCGAATCGCACGCAAGTCGAATTGTTTATGCTCCGCACGATGCTCCTACATGCGATTTTCGGCGCGATCCAACGAAGCCCCCATCTTGGGCGACGCAGCCCCAGCGCGATTGCAAATTTGATCTCCGCCGCGCTGGCCCGCAACGTGGTGGGCCCTGTCCAGTCTTTCTAGGGCGGGAGCGCCCTTGCCCACCCCAGCTACTTTGATGGCCACGCCCAGCTCGGTCCGTGCCTGAGCGTGCGAGGGTGCTAGAATGGGAGGTCCGATCGCTCGATCGAGGCCTATCCGCGGCGGCTACCGAAGCGCCAGAGCTTTAAGGCTGGCGAGCCTCGGAGAGAGCGTCAGCTCCACAGGGGCGCGCAGAGCGAGGTCGGCCTCCCCGTCGGGAGCGACCGATCTGGATGCTTGGCTGAGGCAGCGGCCGGCTAAACAAAATCGCCCATCCTCATTCCTCTTGTGGTCGAGCAAGTAGGATGATGGGGGCGCCGGCAACTCCCCCTTGACCGCTGCCAGGAAATTCGGCTGGAGGAAAGCATCGGGCTCCAATTTTAAAGCGTCGCCCCCCGCTGGCCGTGGCAGTCCTGAAGTCGCGGCGAATTCCCCGATCTCTCTAATTGCGGAGATGGTGGGATCACCGAAGCCAGCTCCGTTGAGAAAATAAGCACTGGCCACGGCGAAGCCAACGCTTCCTGGGAGCTGAACCACCCTCCCCTACCGCGCGCACTTCGAAAAGAGAAGACCGACCGAGAGGACGCAGCCCCGCGAACGTGCAGGCTATATTTGCCAGGTAGAGCGGGGGCCCGCAGAGACTTCCACCCGCGTCGGAGCGCCCGCGCCGAGGCCTGGTCTGGATCCCCCTGGCACCGTTGACGGCGCCCCCACATGCGCGCCACGCATGCTCTAGTTTGCCTCGGCCAACTTCGGGCCGATCCGCCCCCGGTCTGAAGCATTCGCTGAACAAGAAATAAGAGACAGGTCATCCCTGGGGCCCCAGGAGACCCGGGCAAAAGTCCAGACAGGGGACGGTTTTAAGGATGGCTCTAGCCTTGGTCTTCACCAAGTTCAGAGCCCTCCGTCAAGAACTGACCGTGGCCACGCGCCGCCGTGCTTTGGAAGGGCCTCCTCCGCCGCTAAAGATTCGGCAGGCTGGCCCCCCCCCTGGTCGGCGATGCGAGAGGCCTCGCCCCGCGAGTCCCCGCCAGCAGAGCCCGCCGGCGCAGGGGCCGCGGGGGCTAGATCAACGGCCGGCGAAATCAGCCGCCGCGGACGGGCCGGCCTGGCCCAGGCGGGCCCAGCGCCGCGGCAGCTGGCCCAACGCCTCCGCCGCCAGCTGCGCGGGCTGCGCCTTCAGCAGTTGGGTCGACTGGCCGACGTTTTGCTTTGAGACGTTCGAGAAGAGCAGCGTGGTCAGCTTTCGCCTTATCCATCTGCTCCACAGCTTGTTTGAACAACGATGTGGTGGCCTCCTTGAAGTCCTTCGTGAGAGATCCCACAAGCGCCTCCGCCCGCTGCCGATCCTCTGGCGAGAGCTCCAGGTTGGTACCATCGTCTGCCAGAAGGCCGCCGACCACGATGGGGATCTCGGCCACTTCTCCAGCGAACAAGTCGCGCGCAGACAATTCGTGCTTCTTCGGGGGCGTGGGCGGGTCGGCTGGTGCTACCACTTCGCCGTGTAGCTGTCCAACCAAAGACTTATGAAGCTGCCCAGCTGATGCCAATTCATCCGACGCCAAGGCCACTGTTCGCTGCTGCTCGGCGAGATAGGACGCCATGTCATCGTGGGCCTTGACAGCCTTGTCCAACTTCGACTCGACCGTACGGGTGCTGTTGAATGCGGTAGCGATGCGCTGCTGAAGGAGAAGTTCTCGTGCCGCAGACTTTCCTAATCGAGAACTGACTGGTGCCAATCTGCGCCCGCGGATTCGCCGCACATCCGACGCATGGAAACCAAGCCTTCGAGCTCTTCGGTGGACATGTCAGCGGCGTTTGGGCCTCCTGCGGGCTCGCCGCCGCGGGCAGGGAGACCAGCATGGCCGACACCACGGATACCATAACCACGAGGAGTGCCATGATGCGGAGGGCCACAGCGCCAGCGGCAGAAACACAGGGCCTGCCCGTTCCTTCCCACAGTGCTTGCAGACCGTGGGCTGCAGGCTGTGAAGGTGCACGCCCGCATGGGGTCTTCTTTCCACGAACGCCCCCGTTGATGTTCACAGCGTCCGCGAAGGGCGAGGTGGCGGGCGCTGGGTTCCATGAGGCTGCGCCCGCAAATGCGAAGGGTGACCGAACCGAGAGTCTTCGCTGCAGGTACTGTGGTCCTCATGACTGATTCTGATTTTTCCAATGGGGCATTCGGACGCCAAGAATTCACATAAGCATGATATGCCATCGGCCGAAATGGCACATGTAAATGGTGAGTGAAAGACGCGCGGGCTGTCGGGCAATCCCGATACAATACACAAAGTAATAGAAAGCGGGTGAGGCCGCAATATTTCCAATACCAGCATGCCAAGCCTCAGAGCCAAGGCTACGGATTCGAGCCACCATGGCTACGCAGGGGGAGGAGGAGGAGGAGGAGGAGGAGGAGGAGGAGGAGGAGGAGGAGGAGAGAGGAGGAGGGAGGAGAAACAGGAGGAGGAGGAGGAGGATGAAAAGGAAAAGGAGGAGGAGGACGCGGATGAGGAGGAGAAGGCGAAAGAGGAAGGAGGAGGAGGAGGAGGAGGAGGAGGAGGAGGAGGAGGAGGAGGGGAGAAGGAGGAGGAGGAGGGGGAGGACGACGACGAGGAAAACGAGGAGGCGGAGCTGGGGGAAAGACGAAGAAGATGGGGAGGGAACCAGGAGGGACCCCCCTCGGCACTGCCCGACAAGGCGTCGCCCCGCGGGCTCCGATGCCGCGTGCTCCGCGGAGGAGCGGAGGGGGCGGTGGCCGCCGCGCTGAGCGGCGCGCGTCGTGGTGGTGGTGGGAGTGCTCGCCCGCGGCGCATTCCTCCTCCGCCCGAGGGGGGCCCGTTCAAATCCCCTGGCTCCCCACTTCGTCCTCCTCCCCCTCCTCCTCCTCCTCCTCCCTCCTCCTCCTTTCCTCCTCCTCTTCCTCCTCCTCCTCCTCTTCCTTCTCCTCCTCCTCCTCCTCCTCCTCCTTCTCCTCCTCCTCCTCCTTCTCCTCCTCCTCCTCCTCCGCCTAGCGACCCCTCTCCCCTAACCAGGGGGGAGGAAGGGGGGCTGAGGGGGGAGGGGGCATAGATGGAGGGGGGAGCATTGTGGAAAGGGTGGGCGGAGGGGAGGATGGGGGGGGGGCAGGGCGGAGGGGGGACATGAGGGGGTGGGGGGGGTCAGAGGGGGGGTGGGGGGCGAGGGCAGGAGGGAAGGATGTACTACACGTATGTACTCTGTTGTGTGTGATTGAGAATCGTGCTGTCGCCTGCGCCTGCGCCCTGACAAGGGAGACTGCGAAATGCACTCGGGATTGGTTTGTCATAAGGGCGGCGGGGGTGGGGTTCTCATGATTGCGCGTGCGTGCCACCATGTGCATGGTTTGTTGCGCCAAGGATGGTGGTGGCCCTGGTCGGTGGCCACCTGCGTGTGAGGGGGGGCGGGGCCACCACCAAGAATCATGGACAGGGCAGGGGGTCCAGCGCGTCACCGAGGAAGGTCAAGCTAGCGTGTAGCCGAAGGCCTGCCTGCGGGTAGATCACCACCCCCCGATGCCACTAAAGATATACAAAGGCCGCGGCCTCACCTGCCGACCGCGGTGCTACGCGATGGGCCAACGAACTCGGCATAACGTGCCTGGAGATAAAATGCTCAGCGACAGGCCAGGCAACTGGGTACGGGGTGTCTGGGAAATGTGTGTTTCCATTGTCATGTTGGGACGACCCCCCGCCTCTATGATGCGTGAAAAAAGCGTGCCGTGTGCCCTCACGGGGCCTAGACTTAACGCCTTCACTCTGGGCCTCGTGTCGGCTCCGGACACGTTGCGCACGCAGGCGAAGGGTGGAGGAATGGATGGGGTAGGGGCGCGTAAGGGTATATAACGATCGGGGCAATGGTGAGGGTAATGGAAAGGGATGCGTACTTCCCAGGGGGAACCCATATTCACCATCGCTCCTTCGCAACTATCAGCGCATTAATTTCCACTCGGGCCCCTCCCCACTACGCACAACCATCCTCTCATCCGCCGTGCTGATCGCTTTCTCCTCCATCTCTCCCTCTCCTCCTCCTTCTCCTCCTCCTCGTCATCATCATCATCATCATCATCATCATCATCATCATCATCATCATCATCATCATCATCATCATCCGCATCATCAACTTCATCATAATCAAAATTGAGAAACATCACCATCATCAACAACATCACCAACATCGTCATCATCCTTGTCCTTCTCCATATACCAGCCTTCTGCACATACCTGGGCAATTCGAAAACCTTACACCGAGCACGCATTTCACAATGGTAGGCGATGTATTGTCGAGGGCTGATGCTTCTCTCACCGCAGCCAGTACTCTAGTTGGGTATCGTTCTGTTTATCGCTCTCTACGATTTCTAGGGCCTTCGCCTCAGTTTCGGGTCACCTGTCTCCCGTTCAAGCATCTGCTTCTGCTCGTCTCCTGCTACTGCTGCTGTTGTTGCTGCTGCTGCTGCTCCTCCTCCTCCTCCTCCTCCTCCTTATCCAACTCCACCTGTTTGCCTTCCTCTCATCCCTTCCCCGCCCCTTCACAATTATTCAATATGGATACGACTCTCCTCTCTCCCCTGATGACGTCTGGAACACACAGGGTTCGCTGGAACTGGGTTTTCGCTCAGGCTGCTTTCAAACATGTTGCTCCCGCTGAAGCGCTGGCCTTATTTTCGGGCTGCTGCTCGTTTCGAATCGTGCTCCCACTGCAGCGCTGGCATCATTTGCGTGTTTCCAGTCGTTCCGAATCGTGCTCCCGCTGCAGCGCTGGCCTCATTTCCGCGCTTCCGCTCGTCCCGAATCGTGCTCCCGCTGCAGCGTTGGCGTCGTTATTTCCAGTGCCGTGCCACGACATGGTTTTCGGTGCTTCTAAACAGGCCCCAAAATCTAGAACATGGCCTCCCGAAAAAAACATCGGAAGTGATTCCACATTCGGTGTTGATTCGTTGATTTCTGGGGCCGCAGAAGCCCCCCCCCCAACTGTGGGGCGTCGCCACGCCATGCTATGTCATGCTACGCGCTGATCTTCAACACATGCTATGCCATGTAAGGCTATGCCATGCTACAACATCCGATTGTGTGAAGAGAGAAGAGATCTACGCCATGGTGAAGGATGGGAGGGAGGGGTAGGACGTCAGATATGACGCGATCGCACCCAGCTTGTCACCCCCTCTCCCTTTCTTCCCCCACCACTATCCTGTGCCCACAACCGCGCACCGCTGCGGTGGCCAGTGGCGAGGCTCCTCGTAGTCTGCGCAACAGTCCTTGAAATCTTTGCAGCCAAGGTTGCACTGGCACTTCCTTTCGGTAGGCAAGAGAAGCGAGGAATATCACAATGATGGCGACAAGGACGAAGAGGAGGAAAAGGAGCCACATAAGCGGTAGCAACACCAGCAACCATGAAATAATGACGAGGACGAGGATGCGGAGGATGAGGAGGCGGATGAGGATGACGGATTGGGGGAAGGAGGAAAGGCAAAAGAGGAGAAGGATCAGCAGCAGGAGCAGTAGAAGGAGACGGATCGGGAGAAGCCACAGGAAGAGGAAGAGCGCTTGCAGCGCGAGGCGCAGGGGTAGAAACAGGCATCGGGGAATCGTCCTCCAGAGCTATGCTGTGCGCAGGTCCTGGCTCAGCCAGCCCATCAAGCAATTTGAGACGTTGCGTATCAATCATCTTGTGGTGCCATGTGGTCGCTTTGCGCTCGTCCGCGGAATGTTACGCACTCCTCCTCATCCTCCTCCTCCTCCTGCTCCTGCTCCTCCACTTCGGTACGGCCTACTAACTTGAGCTCTCTGCCCTCCCGCCCTCCTCCGCCTCCTCCTGCTTTGCTGCAGCCGCCGCCGCCGACCGCCACCGCGCATCCTCCTGCGCCCCCTTCGCAGTCCATCCTCCTCCTTCTGCTGCTGTCTCCTCGTCCCTGGTCGTTCCCTCTTGCCTTCTCCTTCCTCCCTTGTGGGGAACGGTGAGGGGGGACCAGCTCGGGAGGGAAGGTCGAGCTCGCTTCGACGATGTATCGCAGATAGATCGCGATGCGCGCCCGATAGCGAAGCCGGACGCTCCTGGGCGGGGTGGGCTATCAGACCCCTGTCGGTGATGTCTGGGCGATTGAGGGCCGACGCTTGCCCCTGACCCCTCCCTCCCTCCTCCCTTCTCCTCCCTCCTCTCACCCCTTCCCTCCCCCTCCCTCCTCCCTATCCTGACCCCTCCCTCCCTCCTCCCTCCTCCCTCCTCCTCCCTCCTCCCTCCTCCCTCCTCCCTCCTTCCTCCCTCCTCTACGAGTGTGATGGTGTCTGTACCAGGTGCGCGACAGGCCAGAAAGAGACGATGGCCCACCGCGTCTGGAGCTGCCCTCACACCTGCGGTCAGGACCACCCTTGGATCCGTCAGAGCGCCAAGTTATGTGATGAAGCAGTCCGAGACATTACTAACGGGACCAACCTGGAGCTGTGGCTAAGAAGGCTACTACCATCCACGTGGAACTCCGTACCGCCTCCGCCTTCGTGGGGCACGCCTTGCCTGCCGTACTACATCGATTGGGACGGGCCGTCCGTCACGTTCGAGGGCACGGTGAACTGCGAGGACCACATCGAATGCAAGCTGGCCTTCCTGGACGGCTCGGCTTCGAGCAGCGACGCGCGCCTTGCGCGCGCGGGCTGGGGCGTCTACTTTGCCCAGTCCGCTGCCTGTGTGGGAAATGACGACCCCGACACCCCTCGGCCAGGAGCTTGCGGGGGCTTAGACGGAGCCCAGACGGTCCCGTGTGCGGAGTTGGCGGCCCTCTGGTGGGCCTTAAAAATGACCAAAGGGCCGATTTGGCTCTACACGGACAGCCAGATCGTTTACGATGGATGGCACGGTTCCTCGGACACCTCGGGAGAACTCAGAGGCTGGTGGAAGAGGGTCTTCTCCGAAGCTCAAGGTCGACGAGTGATGCTCAGCAAGTGTAATTCACACCTAGATAGAGTTTCGCTAGCCTCCCTGGTCCAGACCCCCTGTGTCTCCCGAGGCAATGACCTTGCCGACAAATTCGCCCAACTAGGAGTTGAGCAGGTTTCAGCTGAAGTCGACCCAGAGGTCAGAGATCTAGCCCGTGCTGAATTCAAAGTGTGGTTGGTCCAGAGGAGGCTGGCTATAGTAAACGCGGCGTCTGCTTGTGCCGACTACGAGCGTAAGAGCCGCCCGCGTAAGGATTGCCGTGTGCCGCCCGCTGCCTGGCGCGTAAGGAAGGCTCTTGAAGCTCGGCCCCTCCTGGGTGTGTTGCCACTGCCAGAGTGGCCCTGGGAAGTTTTCTATTTTGGACTGGCTTCGCAGTGGCAAATGTCCAGGACCCCAGTACCATAGAGTAGAGTCTCAAGGTATACCTGTGCGCCTTCCCCCTCGGTTCAGTATCGGGGACAAGGCGGTGCATGAGTCGCACAATGCAGCAATATTGTATGGCCAGATTTTTTGTTGGAGGTGCGGGTGCCTTGGCTCGAAGACCCCCACGGGTGGTAGGCTGGGGGCGGGCCTCGTCGGCATGTGTAAAGGGCACCCCACTCCTGCTGGCCAAGAGGCTTTGAATAAAGTTCGGCGTTGGGAGGTCCCCTCTACGAAGGGTAAGGCCGTGTGGCCCGATGGCACCCCCAATGCCCCCAGGCACCCACGGCGCGAAGTGCGCCGCAAGGGTTAAGATAACCCCAGATGCGCCAGCGGCATATCGGCGGGATTTGCTGTCTGGTTAGTAATCGTCCTGTAATCGTCCTCCTTCCTCCCTCCTCCCTCCGCCCTCCCTCCTCCTCCTCCTCCTCCTCCTCCTCCTCCTCCTCCTCCTCCATTCCTTCTCCTTATAGATAACTCCTCCCTGTCGCACCCCGAGGCCAGTTTTTAGAACGGGCCGGGCGTTTCGCCTGAGACGTTCTCCCATTTATGACTCTGAAGCTTAAAAAGTGACAACCGTTTCGCAGATGGAGGGCGGGTCCTTTTCAAAATGTGGCTCTCGCCTTAGCGCCGCGCGCACTCGCTTTACACAGTTGCAAGAGCTTCACGGATTGAGGGCGGGTCGTTTTTAAGATGTGACTCTCGCCTTAGCGCCGCGCGCATTCGTGGTAAAAACTTGCAAGAGCTTCACGGATTGAGGGCGGGTCCTTTCAACATGTGGCTCTGGCCTCAGCGGCGTGCGCATTAGTTATAAACAAACAGTTGCAAGAATTGAACGGATTGAGGGCTGGTTGTTTTCAAAATGTGGCTCTCGCCTCAGCGCCGCGCGCATTCGTTTTAAATATTTGCAAGGGTTTCACATATTGAGGGCGGCTCGTTTTCAAAGTGTGGCTCTCGCCTTAGCGCCGCGCGCATTCGTTGTAAGAAATTGCAAGAGCTTCACGGGTTGAAGGCGGGTGGTTTTCAAAATGTAGCTCTCGCCTCAGCGTCGCGCACATTCGTTTTAAATATTTGCAAGGGCGTCACGGATTGAGGGCGGGAGGTTTTCAGAATGTGGCTTTCGCCTAGCGCCGCGCACATGTGTTTTAAACAGTTGCAAGAGTTTCACGGGTTCCCATGATCAGCGTACCAGAAATGGTGTTTTGAACGGATTCAGGACTGTGCGGGTGCAACAGTTAGGCTGATTCGCGATTCCGGATCGCCAAGGCGCAGCAGTCAGGTTGATACGTGGCGTTGAAATCCCGAGAACAATGTTTTGGCAAGTTTCAGGATCTTCAAACGGTTGTCCTCCAACGAGGCAGTTCCCCCAATGGAAAGACCCGTTGTGGGGGCCTATGAAGAGGGAGCTTGGAGGGAGGGTAACTTCCAACATCGTTGATGACTCTTGGCTTTGCTCTGGTCCTCCCCCTCCACCTCCTCATCCTCCTCCTCCTCCTCCTCCCCTCCCCTCTCCTCCCCTCCCCTCCCCTCCCTCCCTCTCTCCCTCTCCACCCTCCCCGCCCTCCCTCCCTCTCCACCCCCGTCCCGCCTCACGAGCGCCAGCCTCTAGCACTGGGTGCACGAGGCTGGGGCGCGTCGCACCGTTGAGCTGGGACTGGCAGATGCGAAGGAGGAGGGGAGGAGGAGGAGGAGGAGGAGGAGGAGGAGGAGGAGGAGGAGGAACAGTGACTGGCTTGGTTCTTGTCTTGTTGGGGTAGGCTTAGACTTCTCGGCGCTCTTCTTATCCTCCCCCTTGCCCCCCTCTTCCTCCTCCTGGCCCCTCCTGCCTCCGCCCTCTCCGCCCGCCGGCCTTTCTGGCATGAACGGGCCCCCGCAGCCCGTCTGGCTGCACAACTCTGGGTCGCCCTCCTGCCGCTCGCCGTCCGGGGCGGCGGGATCGGCGGGATCGGCGGGATCGGCCTGCGGGAGGGGGCGGGGCCGCGCGGGGGCCCGGGAGAGGGGGCCTCGGTCCGCGGTCGACCCTCGCTCCTGAGTCCACACCCCTCCAACCCTGCCCCTCCCCTCTCCTCCTCCTCCCCCCTGCCCCCGCCCCGCCCCTGCCACCGTCCCGTCCCGCCCCCATTCGAGCTCCCCTTCGCGTCCGCGCCAGCGGGCCCCGCACCAACCCCACCTTGCCCCGCCTTTGCTGTGTGTTCAGTCCGCTCCGCTGTGTCATACTCCGCGTGGCTGCACTTCACCCCGCTCCATGCCTCCCGTCGGCAACATACGTCCTCCTCCTCCTCCGCCTCCTCCTCCTCCTCATGATTATGATCGTGGCCATGCTCATGATCATCATCATCATCATCATCATCATCATCATCATCATCATCATCATCAGCAGCATCAGCATCATCAGCATCTTAAGCATCCTCATCATCATCCTCATCATCATCCTCATCCTCATCCTCATCCTCATCCTCATCATCATCATCACCATCATCATCATCATCACCATCATCAGCAGCATCATAATCATAATCACCATCAGCATCACCTCTCCTGCCTCCTGCGCATGCATCTCCGCGTACTCCTCCGCCCACGTTGCTCCCCGCTGCCTAGTTAAACTCATCCTCCTCTTGTAGGTGGCCTCCTCCTTTTCCGCCTGCCCCTGCTCCTACTCCCCCCGTAGCGCCGCGAAAATAACTCAAAGCGGACCGTTCCACACCAACACCCACCAACGTCGATACATATCGTGCGCCTGCTAGTTTCAAACTTGGCAATTGGTCGACGGCCTTGCCACCTGCGCTGCGCTCGCTTTTCATAACTCAAGGTCCTGAGCGATGTGTCAGCACCGAGTTCACTTTGTCTTGTAGCTCGCGCGCCCCGACGGCCGCGCAGGAGGCGCACGGTAAACTGCGGCAGGTGAAGTCAGTGCGCTGTGGATCCCGTACTCACGCCGTGCGCAAGCTCGCGCGCCACAAGGGGCTTGCTCAGCATGTCGCGGCGGTGGCCCTGGGGACAGGCTCCGCCCTGCGAGCTGACAGTGCGTCGCTCTGCCTCGCGGGGCTGGGGGGGCTGGGAAGTGCTCGGGACGCTGGCGCACGGGAGCTCGGAAGTGGCTGGCGCGTCGCGCTCAGGAAGCGTTCCCGCCCGTGCGACCCACACCCACGGACAGCTCAGAGAGCGACGGGGGAGCGGGGAGCCTCGCGCGCACCCCCCGCGCGCGACGGGGCGCGCTCGCCCACGGGGCCGCGCGCGGCCGCTCGCCCCCTGCTGGCGAGCTGCGGCGGTGCCAGACGAGGCGAACGCCCTGCCGACGCCGTGCGCGCCCGCGGGGCATCGAAGCCGTTCTGTTGCTTCTGCCCCGGGAATCGAAGGCGGCGCGCGCGCTCGCGCGGTCCGCGCGCGGCGCCTGCCTCGGCCCTCGCGCGGCCTCGCCTGGGAGGAGGCAGGTGCTGCTTCGTTTTTTTTGTTCTGCTTCTTCTTTCCTCCCTCGGACCGACGACAATGCCAATGACAACCGATGACAACTCAGAGGCAGGTGCTGCTTCTGGTGGGCAGCAGAGCCGGTCCTGGGATTTTTTTGCAACCCCGCGAATCAACAATCCTACCACTTCCAAGAATCACTCGCGCCAGACGCAAAGCGGCAGCCTTCGGCAACCGCACTGCATGCAAGAAGTATCTTACGGTCGTACACTAGCGGGTCGGCCCAGAAGAGAGAGGCCGGCGTCCAATCCATTCTCTTCCCGCTCGGGGCATGCGCGTCCGACGCCGTGCTGGCTCCTCCGTGGGTGTTCGCACGCCAGGGCCGCCGGCCTGTCCACGGCAAGACTGTGTGTTCGGAGGAGGACGAGGAGGACGAGGAGGACGAGGGGGAGAGGAGGAGGAGGAGGAGCAGGACAAGGAGCAGGGTGATGAGGATAAGGAGCAGCAGGAGGAGGAGGAGGAGGAGGAGGAGGAGGACGATCCGAGGGGAGAGGAGGGCGGGGAAAGGGTTGGGTCTGCAGTGGTGTGCGGGCGGCCTGCCTTGCCATCCACTCCTGCTCATGCTCGTGATCCTCCTCCTTTCCCTCGTCCTCCTCCTCCTCCTACTCCTTCTCCTCCTCCTCCTCCTCCCTCTCTGGCTCCTGCTCTTATGCCCGCTTCTGCTCCTCCACCTCTTCCTCCTCCTCCTGCTCCTTCTCCTCCTCTCTCCTCCTCCTCCTTCTCCTCCTCCTTTTCCTCCTCCTTCTCCTCCTCCTCCTCCTCCTCCTCCCCTTCCCTTCCCTTCCACATGCATTGGGCTCCCTTTCTGCGGTATCCAGCCCCAAACTGGACGCACGAGCATCATTTGAATTCATTGTCCCGATCGTCATCCGCTCGGGGAAGTGGGCGCAATCCACGAGATCGCACGACATCGCACGAGGGTGAACCTATAGACTCGTGCAACGCGCGGGGTGAAGGCAGACGCAAAGTAGGATCTGCATCAGTTTTACAAGGAATATGAAGCATCCCTCATCCTCCTTCTCCCTCCTCCCCCCGCCCATCTCCCCTCCTCCTTTCTCCTTTCCTCTCTATTCTCCCTCCGCCCCCGTCTCCCTCCGCCCCTCTCATCCTTCTCCCTCTTTTCTCCTCCGCCCCCTTCTCCGCCTCGCTATCCTCCCTCCGCCCCCTTCTCCCTCGTTTCTCCTTCTCACTTCTGCCTCCGCCCCTCTCATCCTTCAAAATTACACAATATGAATACTACTCTCCTCTCTCTCTCTCTCTCTCTCTCTCCCCTGATGACGTCCGGAAGATGTCGGGCACCTTCGCGCACTGTCTCTTTATACAGGCATGATTCCCGGGAAATGGGTTTTCGCTTGGGTTTGTTGTTTTAAATGTTGCTCCCGCTGAAGCGATGGCCCCACTTCTGCGCCTCTGGTTGTTCCAAATCGTGCTCCCGCTGCAGCGCGTGCGTTTTCGGTCCTTCAACATTGGCCCCAAAATATAAAAATGCCCCCCCGCAAAAACATCGGAAGTGATCACACATTCGGTGTCGATTCGTTCACTTTTTGGGCCGCAGAAGCTCTCCGCCACTTTGGGGCGTCGTCGCTTTCAGGAAGTATTAAGCGGGAGCCCCGTTTCTGTTTTGAGAAGGCTATGCTGAAAGCAGAGCCAGCGGGTGCTCTCCATCAGCCCCGCCGTTTGTGGAACTTTTCGGGGAGCCCAAGGAGCTAGACATGGAGCCACGACTCCAGACCGGCCCAGACCTCTCGAAGATGATCCACTTACCCTCCAAAGAACCCGCCATGACATGCTGTGCGGTGTTGTGTTCTGCGCCGCTGTGCGATGTCATGCTTTGCGTTGCAATGCGTTGTGATGCGCTGCTTCACTACGCAATGCCACGCAATGCTATGGCATGCCACGCTCTGCCATGCTCTTCTACGCCATGCCATGCCATGCTCGACCATGCATCGCGTACCCTCTCGCGATCATTGCCCTGCTCGACATCCGACTGTGCGAGTAGAGAGGATATCTACGCCATGGTAAGGGATGGGAGGGAGGGGTAGGATGTCAGATGTGACGCGAACGCACCTGGCTTGTCCCTTGCCCCTCTCCCCTCCTCCTTGCTCCTTCCCCTCCTTGTCCTCCCTCCCTGGGCGGCACAGCACGAAGGGACCCCTCCCCGAAGATCCGCCCGCGACCCTTCTGGCGCTGCCCCGAGACGGCGGCGGGGAGGGAGAGGGCGGGAGGAGGGGCAGCCAGCAGCAGGAGGGAGAAGGCGAGGGGAGGAACGCGGACTGACTGGGAGGGGGACGAGGCGGAGGAGGAGGCAGGCAGATGGATTCGGCTCGCTTCGGGGTGGGGCCCCGCGGGTGCCTCTGCCCAAACAGGCCTGCGCTCGACACCTGGGCGCCGTCTACGCGACCATCGAAATTGCGAGCAGAACGATCGGCCTCGGCCCGCGCTGCCCCTGCGGGCGGCCTGCCACCCCGGCGAAGCAGCTGGGCGGGTGCCCGCCACCCGGGGGCCACCACTCGCAATGTGCTCCCTCCCCTGAGGACGAAGCCAGGGCGAGGCTAAGATTGGGCGAGGACAACTCGGTGATCTCTGAGATCTGGCGGCTCTGGAGGATGTCTCGGGCGCCGCGGCCTTCTCAGAGCGTTCCGGAGCGATCTGAGAGCGTTCCGGAACGCTCTGGACTGGATTCGTCCTCGTCCCAACCCGCCTATCAACGCCCACTCTTCACCAGCCGCCGGAACCCGTCCACTCCCTCGAATGTGGCCGAACACAGCCGAAGCCCTCGCTCGCAGCTGAAGATGTGGCAGCCCTCGCAGCAGGAAACGAACAACGAAGAAGTCGCCCCTCCAACGGCTGGCACCCCGCCCCCCTCATCCCAGCCCATACATGGATGAAGAGGAGAAGAAGAAGAAGACAGAGAAGGAGGAGGAGGAGGAAGAGGAGGAGGAGGAGGAGGAGCGCACGTAGCTTGAATTCTCGATGACTCAGCTACCGCCAGGGCCCTACCATCGCATAGCGACGAGGCCTGCGACTCGGATTTCGTGGTGGTATGCGGGCGTGGCCGCTCTGTTCCTACCCGCGAGGTCAGCTTTCAGCTTATGGCAACCATGGAAGCTCAGCACCCGATCTGATGGCAGAGCTGATGGGGATTCTCTGATTCATTATCTGGTGCTGGGCGAGGCCCCAGACGTGTGAGTGGACATGGATGAAGAGGAGGAGGACGAGGAGGAGGAAGAGGAAGACTTAAACCTGTCCAGCCCCCTCCACTTCCCCCTCTTCGTCCGTAGCATCCCGCGGCAGACAGTGCTCATACGTATGACAGTCGCCGCCTCCTCGCGTACCCTGACATGTTGAATGAACTGTATCAGCACGTCCTCCCTCCCTCCCTCCCTCCTTCCCTCCCTCCCTCTCCTCCCCTCCGCCCCATTTCCTTACAAGTATCTTCTCCCTGTCGCACCCCGATGCGTGTCCTGTGGGTGAGCCCGCCGTTTCGCCTGAGGCTTCCTCGCAATATGTGATGATGAAGCCTGCCCTCTGCCGCAATTTTACGGCTGGGGGGCTCTCGCCTTAGCACCGCGCGCACTCGTCCTAAACATCTGCGACAGTTTCACGGATGGCAAGGGTCCTCTGTTTCCAACACGTGGCCCTCGCCTTAGCGCCGCGCGCACTCGCATTCGTCATAAGCCTTCGCGCCAGCTTCGCGGACAGAGAGGGCTGTTCCTTTTCAACACGTAGCTCTCGCCTTAGCGCCGCGCATTCGTTCGGAACTGTTGCAACAATTTCAAGAATGGCGCTCTCAAAATGTGATTACCGCCTTAGCGCCACGCACATTCGCTACCAACGTTTGCAACAATGTCAAGGATTGACACGGGGTCGTTGTCAAAATTTTGCTCACGCCTCAGCGCCGCGAATATTCGTCTACAAAATTTACACTAGCTTCGCGGATGGAGGCTGGATCTTTTTCAAAGTGGTGTTCCCCCCCGCATCGCCGCGAACATTCGTCGAACATTCTTCTTACAATTTCAAGGATTGCGCACCAGTCGTGTTCACAATGGGGCTCTCGCAACAGCACCGCGATTGCACATGCAAAGATTGGCAGGATGGAAGACTGCTCTTTTCAACCTGGAGCTCTCGCCTGAAACTTCGTGCTCTCGCAGCTTCAACGCACACGGGGCTGCACGAACACGGCGGCTCTTCTTCAAAACGTGTGCGCAGATCCATGCTCCGCGAGGCCAGTAGCCACATCCAAATGTGAATCGCGTGTGCAACAGTCACACGGATAGGGAGGCGGCCAGTCCTCCTTCGAAAAGGGGCCCTCGCGGGACGCCTCGTGGAACTGTACGGACATGCCTTCGAGTTCCGGACTATGCGCCGGAAATGCGCAGGCCAATCCTTTTTCCAACATGGGGTCCTCGCGCAAATGGCAAGCCCAACTGTGCTGGTATTTCAAGGGGGCGACACTTGCGGTGAAAAGGAGGGCGTGCAGGGGCGTGAGAGGAGGGGGCTTGGGAACGGTGAGTGCATCGCAACATTGCTTGTGATCTTGGGCTTACTCTGGTCCTCCTTCTCCCCCTCGCCGACCTTGTCCTCGAGCGCCCCGGTGTCCTCGAGCTCCTCGGAATCGTCGTCCGACTCGGAGTCGCTTTCAGCCGCAGCCCCGGACTCGCCCTCAACTACCTGCTCAGGATGGGAGGGCGTGGATGAAAACGTGGACGAGGAAGAGGCAGTATGGCGACTCGCTGTCAGCGGGGATGGGGAAGGAAGGAAAGAGAGAAGAAACGGCCGTTATAGTGAGACGGATGGGTGAAGGGAGAGGGGGGAATGAAGGGAGGGAGATGAGGGAGATGCGGGACAGATGGAGACAAGAAGGAAGAAGGAAGGAGGTGAAACGGGGGAAGTGCGGAATGGAGGGGTGGTGGCGGGGGGGACCTGGAGGAGGGAGGGGTAAAGAGAGGGAGGGCGGTGCTGGAGAGATGGTGAGGGGGAGAGTGGGGAGGAAGGAACGGAAAGGGGGATGGATGTGGATGGATGGTGGTGGAATGCAGTGCACGGGATGAGCAGGTGGATCGAGAGCGAGCGACCTGCTGCTAGCAATCGTGGAGAGCGAAGGCCACCTTCGCAAGGAAGCCCGGTCAAGAGTAGACCCGAAGCTCTTCCCAAAGCAGCAACCGACTGGCCGAAACTGCGCCTATTACCCCTGCTTCTTCTCCCCCCCAGGGGCAGGACGAGAGGAGAGGGGGGGAGGGGGAATAGGGTCTGTGGGTCGGGGCGGGGGAAAAGCTCTTTTATTTTTTTGGGGGGGGGAGGATATGGTGGGGACGGGGGGGGAGGAGAGCGGAGACAGGGAGAGAAGGCATTGGAGACGGAGGATGAGGAGGAGGAGGCGGAGAAGGAGGAGGAGGAGGAGGAGGAGGAAGAGGAGGAATAATACGATTAATAAGAAGACGAAGAAGAAAACGAATAGTAAGAATACTACTACTACTACGACTACTACTGATAATAATAATGATAAAGATACTAGTAAGAAGAAGAGAGTGCAGAAAAGGAAAGCGAACATGTATAGATAGAGAGATAGAGATAGAGAGCGAGAGAGAGAGAGACCACACAAAGGAAAGAGAGAGAGAGAGAGATAGGGAGAGATAATGAGAGAGAGGGGGAGAAAGAGAGACAGCGAGAAAGAGAGAGAGAGAGAGGGACAAGAAGACAGAGAGAGAGGGCCATCACGATATGTACGATTATCTTTTATATATAAGCAAGAGAGTGTGAGAGAGGATGATGAGGATGAGGATGAGGATGACGACGATTATGCTGCTACTGATGATGATGATGATGATGATGATGATGCTGATGCTGATGCTGATGATGATGATGCTGATGATGATGATGGTGGTGGTGATGATGATGAGGAGGAAGAGGAGGACGAGGAGGAGGAGGTGGAGGAGGATAACGAAGAGGAGGAGGAGGAGGAGGAGGAGGAGGAGAAGGAGGAGGAGCGGGGAGGTGGAGGAGGACGAAGAGGAGGAGGCGGAGGAGGAGACAGAGGGAGGAAGGGAGAGAGGTGCGGCAGAGAGGGAGGAGGGGGAGGAGGACGAGGAGGGGGAGAAGAGGAGGAGGAAGAGGAGGAGGAGGAGGAGGCGGAGGAGGAGGACGAGGAGGAGGAGGAGGAGGAGGAGAAGGAGGAGGAGGGTCATTGGGGTGTCTTGCCCGTAGAACTCCAGCTGCAGTGATTGGTGGGCGAGGAGAGAGCCTCGACCACAACATATACATATTGCAACGAGGGTCTGTGAACTGCGCGCGGCTGCAGGGCGACCTGCAGCACTCCGTTAGAAGCCCAAGCTTGTGCAGCGAGGCCAATGGAACAGAGCCCGAAAACCCTGGTGTCGGGCGGCCCCTCCAGGGGATGCCCGAGCAGAGGCCAGGGAGCACAGAATGCTGCCCCGATGCGCAACACGCAACACGTAGCGTATTGCTACGGATCCCAACGCGTAGACTGAACACGTAGGTCTGACGCGATACGTTCGCCAAACCGTGGGCCAATACGCTGAGCCAACACGCAACGTACTGACACGGACGTTTTGAACACGGCACGTGTTGCGTATCAAAACGGGCGTATCTAGGCAGCTAAGAATGCGAGAGGGCATCTGGTTCTGACTACCTACCGGACCACCCCAACCCAACCCGAAGACCCGAATCTGAATCGAATTTCGGGTTGGGGGGGGCGGGTTCCATGTGTTTTTACAGTGTTCCCCGACCCCCCCCCCACTGGAAATGGAGGGCAAATTGAGGCCTTCGGGTTGGGTTGGGGTGGTCTGGTAGGCGGTGAGGTTCATCCCCACCCGCGACGCCTGCGAGGGCACAAGACAAAAGACACGGCGCCAGGGCGAGCCAGCAGCCCGGAGGCCCGGGGGCAGAGGCGCGGCCGGTCTCGTGGCTTCCTCGCCAGAGGCAGGGTCCGAGAGGAGCCGCGCGGCCAGTGCACACAGTGCTACCCGTGGCACTGACCATGCCGCGGGCAGCATGAGAAGGAGCGCAAAAGAGGGGCTCCTCCTCCTCCTCCTCCTCCTCCTCCTCCTCCATCATAAGTGAGAGGAATCCAGCCTGGCCAGAGGGCCGCAGGAAGCGGCAGCACTGGTGCGAATCACTGTCTCCCGAAAGCCAGGGAGCCGCCACCAAGGTACGGTACGCTCATCCTCCTCAAGACGGCGGGACTCTGCAGCACGCCACAGGGGCAGCCTGGAGTCCTGGACGGGACAGGCAGCCTCCCCGAGGGCCGCAGCAGTGGAGGGGAGACCTCCCGTGGGCACAGTGCCTTTCCGACAATGTATAGGCATGGCAAGCGCGGAGACTGAGGTGGCGTCTCCTCCCATGGGCCCCTCCGTCCAGCGATGCGGCAACTCTGCTGGGGAAAGAGCGCTGCTCCGAAACGGAAGCGGCCTAGTGGGAAACCAAACGAAATGTTCCGCCAGGAGCTCACAAAGGTGTACATGAATAACAACTCCGTCTGACCAGGCAAACGAGGGGCACGCTGCTGTGGTCGAGGCTCTCCCCTCGCTCACCTGCCACTGCAGCAGGAGCTCCGCGAGCAACAACAAAAGCAGGCGGAGGGGGAGGAGGAGAAGAGGAGGAGGAGGAGGAAGGGGAGGAGGAGGGGCAGGAGGAGCAGGAGCAGGAGCAGGAGGAGGAGAAGGAGGAGGAGGAGGAGGAGGAGGAGGAGGAGGAAAGGGAGGAGGAAAGGGAGGAGGAAAAGGGAGGAGGAGCAGGGGGAGGACGGAAACGAGGGGGGGGGGGGAGGAGGAGGGCGACCGATGGCGAGGGAGGGACGAGGACGCGCGGATGGGGAGGCAACCCCCTCCCGCCGCTCGGCAGCCCGCTCCTCCCAAGAGGCAACCCCAGGCGCCTCCACCGCTCCGGCGTTCAGCGACTCCACGGCGGCCTGCACCTGTTCAGCGGCGCCAGGAGGAGGAGGAGGAGGAGGAGGAGGAGGAGGAGGAGGAGGAGGAGGAGGAGGAGGAGGAGGAGGAGGAGGAGGAGGAGGAGGAGGAGGAGGAGGAGGAGGAGGAGGAGGCGGAGGAGGTGCGCTTCACACTCTTAGATGGAAGACGGAGAAGGTGCTCCCTCCACCGAGGAACCGAAGAACGGGCCTAATGCTGGCATACGGGAGGCCTACACAGGCCAGGGAGTCCTTTCACACTTAGGCCAGCCAACTCAGGCAAGCCTACTTTAGCATGGCACATGTGCCTGCTGCACAGCAGTATTCATTATCGTATCCCGCAGCCTGTACCTTAAATGGAAGTTACTCTCATGAGTCACGCTCAGTCACAAATGCCACCCGCTCCGAGAGGGGAGTTGCTACATACCTCGGCAGTGGAAGCATGTTGCCACATGTTGTGGTCTGTCGAGTACGTCTTACTCCCCACTCATTCAGCTCCTCCTCCTCCTCCTCCTCCTCCTCCTCCTCCTCCTCCTCTGTGGTATGGGACCTCCATTCCCCTCACCAAGGGTAACGGCCCAAGACTTGCATACCGTCTAGTCACCCTTCTTTTTTGCCTAAGGGTAGTAGCTCAAGAATTGCTCACTATCTTTCAGCAGCACAGCTCACTCGCAGGACCACGGCGATCCTTTAGGGGTAGGGTCGGGGGGGGCATTTCGGGGACGGGACGGATATACCCACGATTTGGGTCAACCTTAAACCCTGGACAGCAGCCCTAGGACTGCTACATTCAGTCTCGCTTCTAGCCTCTGCATCACTCTCTTCGCATGTTTCCTTACTGCAACTTGATTTCCGAGGCGGCACTACCACTGAAGCTTATGGGGCTGGCTTTATGGTTATACAGTTTGGGGACTTACCGTGCTACTGTTAATGCCGACCTCTACCTGGCGGGCGCCTACTCCCTTTACTTTTCTCGCCTAGGCCTTATTTTCCTCATTTTCCGTGGCGCCTGCCAAGTACATCTTGCGCCGCATCGTGCACGCGTTTCGTGATTTTATCCGCGCATTCGCTCAAACACGCTACAAGCTAGATCCTTAAGTCGGGCTAGCTAAAGGAAACAAGAGGAGGGGAGGATGAGGAGCAGCAGGAGCACGGGGAGGAGGAGGAGGAGGAGCAGGGGGAGAATAGGATTATGATGATGATGATGGTGATGATGATGATGATGAGGAGGAGGAGGAGGAGTGGCAGGAGTGGCAACCTCGAAACGCCCTCTGAAGCCCAAACAGCGCTCGGCAAGTGGACGACCACCTTGCCTCCCACACGCCCGCCCGTAGGGGTACGCCCTGGGAGACGACGAAGCCGTCCACGGCTGGGCGAGCTCGTCGTCTTCCTGCCCGCCCGTAGGGGTACGCCCTGGGAGGAGCCCGTCCAGCGGGCGGCGCTCAGATGAGAACCATGTGGATGCCGACGGTCGGCGCGAACACTGGATTGGCCGCCAGCGGGCGCCGCGCGGAAGACCTCATCCGCGACGGCGTCGAGAAGGAGGAGGAAGAGGAAAAGGAGGAGGAGGAGGAGGAGGAGGAGGAAGAGGAGGAGGATGAGGAGGCGGAGGGGGAGGGGAAAGGAGGTTCAGGAGGAGGAGGAGGGGGACAAGGAGGAAGAAAAGGAGGAGGAGGAGGAGGAGGAGGACAAGGAGGAGGAGGAGGAGGAGGAGGAGGAGGAGGAGGAGGAGGAGGAGGAGCTGCACTCGTGTGCGCCCCGTGGGCTGGGGAGGGGCCGGGGGGGGGTGCAAGGTTGCGGGCGAGTTGCGCCACGCCCGTGCCGCTCGTGCAGCCTCGTGGGCGCCCCATGCGCTGAGCTTGCACAGAGCAGCTTGCACCACATGGCTTGCACGACCTAGCTTATACCACATAGAGCTCACATCGATAGCCTCCACCTTCAGCTCAGACAGCGCAGCTCACACAAGATGGCTTACACCACATCACTGGGACCGCATAGCTTTCACGCTAATAGCTCCCAACACATTGCTTTCACCTCCACAGCTCACACCAAATAGCTTGCACTGCATAGCTGCCACTTCCAAGCTTAACACCCCATAGTTTACACCGACTAGCTTACATCACATAGCTTGCACTGTATGGGTGCCACCTCCATAATGCAATAACTCACTGCTTTGGGGTCCACACTGGCCAATACTCACTTATTGGGATATGTGTCCGTTGGTCGATTATCGACCCCCTCTTCATTTCCTGACATGTCGTCCCTGGCCCCGAAGCCAGGCATCCACTAAAAAAGCAAGGCGTGCGCGCTCCCGAAGCCACGAATCCTTGGAAATGACAACGCGAGCGCGCTCCCGGAGCCACCACCTCTGATGGATTACTACAGATCCGCGCAACCAGCCAGCCAGCCAGCAACCGGCCCAAACCAACTGCCATCCATCTGTTGAGACAGGAAACTAATCAACCGAATGCCAGCCAGCCAGCCGCCCAACCAACAAACCAACCAACCGAACAACGGTAGCCACGCAAGCAATCAGATGGGGGGGCGGCAGCAGAGGGCAGCGCCATCCATGTATACATGTGCACACGTCTGAACCAGCTCACGCGCGCTCAAGTTCTAGTTGCCGGTCGTACCTACGCCTGGGCATGCGCTTGCATTGCAAACCTGGTGCCTCGGGAAAGTGGTCGCGCCCCCCCCCTGCCACGCGTATGTTCGTCACCCTCCCTTCTTTCTTCAAGTGCATGGGCATACGTACCTCCAATGTATTCTCTCTCCCACCCGTCCTCCTCCTGCGTCTCTTCACTTGCTCATCACCTTCTCACCACTCATTCTGCTGCTTTCCCCTCGTCGCCTCATCATGCTGATCCTCTTCGTCGCCCTCCTGTGTTCCCTCCTTCTCTTCCTCTTCCCTCATGCTGTTGGGAAGAAGACGAGGTGGAAGAGGAGGAGGAAGAAGTGCAAGAGGCAGTTGGGGTACCTTTGGGGCTTCCCCAAGGCCTTCTGGGGCCCTGTCGGGTCTGGTTAGGAACTTGTGAGGCCATCTTGGACCACCCCGGAGTCATCTTGGCCGTCTTGGAGGTATCCTGGGGGTCTCAGCAGTTGGCTATCTTGGAGGTGTTCTGGGGGGCTCAACAAATCCCCCTAAGGCTCTCGGGGGCCCGTCTTGAAACCCTGTTGGGGCCCTCTTATGGCCCCCCTGAAGCCCGCTGGAGGCCGTCATGATGCCCTTTCGGGAAGTCTACGGGTCATTGTGAGCGCCTCCTGAGCCGCCGTGCGACCGCCTATGACCAAGAGGGGCGCGCACGTGTGAAAAAACTATCACAAACAACTCAGGAATATCAGTGACCGCTGTCCAGGAAGCTCTTCGACGTCATTTGGGCTATCTTGGGCCGTCGTGGAAGCGTCGTTAAGCGTCTTGGTGGTGCCGCAATCCACCTGCTCTCTCGGGGTCAGTGTTGGAGCCATCTTGGAGCCGTTTTGAGCCCGCTGGATGACCCTGTGGAGCTCTCTTGGGCAGCCTTGGGGTGACCTTGGGGGGAATCGGGCCGTCGTGGAAGCTCTGGAGGCCGAATAAGCGATGAAGGTACCATCCTTCGAACAACTTATAATGACCAGTTCATGCTCGCGAGCCTGTGGGGAACACGAGCGGGGTCCCCTGGGGCTTCTTGGGAGGCTATTCGACCCTCTTAGGGCCATCTTGGGGATAGCTTGGCCGTCGTGGAAGCGTCTTGGAGATGGCGCAGCCCACCCCCCCCTCCCACCAAGGACTCTTCTTAGGCCCTCGTGGAGCCCTCTTGGGCCCACGTGGGCCTTCTCAGGGCCCTCTCAGGGCTGGCCCGTCGGAGGGTCATTTTGGACCGCCGTGGGGCGATCTTGGGGGCCCGAGGAGGAGGAGGAGGAGGAGGAGGAGGAAAAGGAGGAGGAGGAGGAGGAGGAAGAGGAGGAGGAGGAGGAGGAGGAGGAGGAACATGAGAAGGAGCCCGTTTCGTGCGACAGCGCGCGACGTCAGCAGGCTTCAGACATCGCTGGTCGAAACGAGTGCCCACCCTCTGCTACGGCAGAAGCCGCGCTCTCAGAGGATCCAGCATCCCATCCCGCCTCGCCATGTTCTCGAAAAGCAGCGCTGCCCCACACGCGTTGCCGGCGACAAAGACGATGTTGACGACAGGGATCATCTCGAGCAACACCGCCACAAAACCAAAGCTCACGTACGAGACGATATGTTTTGTGACATGGCGCAGCTGATGGTCGCACCGCTGCGGGCCAGTCACTGCCAGAGTGACGTCTAGGAGGTCCCATGTGCGAAGCCAACTGTTCAACAGCGCAACAAGGACCGGTCCCCAGAAAGGAATGGCCAGGAACGGCGTCGAGACAGATGCGAGCAAGATGCGGCCAATACCAAACCAGAGTTTATGGCGTAGCTTCCGGGCAAAGTCCATCTTTGGAAGCTGCCCATCCTTACCCAATGCACGTCCCAATTGCTCAAGCACGCCCCTGCGCTGGAGTATGTCATGTATCAGGTAGTCGTCTAAGTCCTTGAAGATCATTACGAAGACCAACACGGTGAGCACCACGTACAAGCCAACAATTATTATAACGAACGGGGGACAAGACAAGGAAGCTGCAACAGCGGCGATAAAAAGAGCCGTCAGGGCGAACCCCGCAAGCAAGAATGGCTTCATCAGATCCTTCCATAGATCAGGGCCTCCCCCCACAAGAAGAACGAAACCATGGAGTGGCAAGATGAACGAGCAAATCGCGCCGCATCTTGCCATGTGTGGTAGAAAGGTGGGGAAAGCGACACTCGCAATGCCCGAAGTGCCCCGAGCCGCGAGGGCATGAGCCACAATGACTTGAACCTATCTGGCTCGAGCCAAAGTGGTCACGGACCATTGTGGCATGGCACCGAAAGGAGAAAAAGGTAAAAGCACAACAGACCTAAGGTCTATCATTTGCTCTTGTAAGGTTCGAGGGAAGCTCTAGGGCCTTCTCAGGACTTCCTGGGATCCTCTTGAACTCTCTTGGGGCCATCTTGGGCAATCTTGGGGCTAGATCGGCTATCGTAGAAGCGTCGTGGGGATACCGCAGCCCCCCGCCCCCCAGGGGACTCTCCTAGGGCCACAATCAGGGGTGCTGTGTTCCATACCCCCCCCCAGGGCAACCCATCGTACAGACGGTCTCTCGAGAGGGGTGTCAGAGCTCAGGGAGGCAATGACCGCAGCTCCCCCAGCTGTGGCGGGTCTGCCTCCTGAGCCGCGTCGGGAACGAGAGGGACTTCCGACAATCCCGAGGTCCTTAAGACGCTCCAATATTGCACACACGCGCTTCAGGTTCGCGGGCTGCTTCTGTAAGGCCGCTCCCTGCAATCTCAAGGATCTGCTGCACAGGCGAAGGAACAGTGAGTGAGTAAGGCAATCAGCAGGCACGGTGCCCGCTACGAATGGCCATGCAGACGGCGCTGGGGCCTCTGGCCCAGTGCAGCGCCCCACTCACCCTGAATTATCTTTACCGCCCATCCCTCTTATCAGCACCCTGCATTCCCGGGAGCTCTGTTGCATGACCATTGCCAGCCTTTTCCGGGAGAGGCGGTGGAGTGGAGGGTTCGAGCATGATTGTGCGCGTGTGTGCTGCGCATACTCCGCAGCAGGCTGCACACAGACACTCATGGGCAAGCCCATTTGGAATATCAAAGCTGCCCTCCGTTAGAATATCCTCTTAGGGGATGCCCGGGGCCGCTTGGGGGCTCTCGCGGGGCCGTTCGGCCGCCCGCCTGACTGCTTCGGCCCCTCCGCAAGGCCCGTCAGGAAGGCCCAGGGCGCCCGGAAAACCCAGGGAGCCCTCTGAAAGGGCGTCCGAAGGATCCTCGGGACCAGAGATCTGGGGGGTCTGGTGTGGGGGATCTGGGGGGTCATATGTTGGCATGTTTCCTCACACGCTTCCCCCTTCGTCCGTCGCCCTGGCGCGAAAGCCGCCCATGCCGCGCACCTCCTCGGAGTCAAGCACGGTGGACTTCATGGGGTACCCGACCTGTCAGCCAGGAAGAGGTGGAGGAGGAGGAGGAGGGGCGAGAGGGAGAACCAAGAGGAAAGGATGAGGTGAAGGAGGAGGAGGAGGAAAGGAGTAATAATACGAATGCTAATAAGAATGATGATAATAATAACGAGAAGGATGAGGAAGAAGAGGAGGGGCGAGAAAAAGAAGCAAGAGGAGGAGAAGGAGGAGGAGGAGGAGGATGAGGAGGAGGAGGAGAAGGATGGAGGAGGAGGATAACGAGAAGGATGAGGAAGCAGAGGAGGAGGAGGAGGAGGAGGAGGAGGAAGAGGAGGAAGAGGAGGATATGATTACAGAAACCTGCATCATGCCTTTCATGGATTGCCGCATGTTCAGTAGTCATTCGGCTCCAGTGCCCAGTCGGGCACATGGAATGCTCCTTCTGCCGAGAACACATAAAACATGCAGAGCTCCCACTCTATCACAGTGCTCATGCGAGCCCTCGCTACCAGTTCCGACAGGCTTCGCTATCAC